CACATGCAGCGTGTTGAGACGCTTACGTGACTGACGTGTCTAGAAGTGCCCGTAAAGACAGGACGTTCGTCATTTTCATGGAGCCCAGAGGTGAGGCCACGCAGAACCCAGGGTCCCTGGGTGTGGGACAATTCTTCCAGAGCCGCAACTCTTGCCTTCTGGTTCTGGGAAAGAGAATGATTTTCTGTGCAAACACTATTCTATAAAGCATGCCAGATAAGAAAATAAGTAAGGAAGTAGCTGTCTGAAGTGGTGGCCTGGATTGGAGATATGTCTTTTACAGCAATGAGAAACAAGATTTAATTTAAAGGACACCAGTACGCCATCCTTTATCCTCCAAACCCGTCAGGATGAGTGAGACCTGGGGTGATGCCAGCTGACTCCAGGTTCCCAGAAGCATCAACATCCTTAACCCCCAGGGTCACTTCTCCTCTTGGAAAGAAATAGTTTCCTTTCAACACTGAAGCTAAAATTCTACAAAACCATTATTGGCTTTTTAATGATAATATGTGTATTATTCTGTATCATTAATGATATTACTTGTGAAATATCAAATAATAATAAGAGAAGTTATAAGAGTTTTTGTTACTACCAATAGGGCATGAAATTTAACGAATGATACAACAGTGATTTAGATGTTTTTACTGTGCTGGATAACATTGCAGATACTTTGTATTCTTCATGTGTTGCTTGGCCACCATTTAAATAACATTCATAGTTGCATTTGTTCGCTATTCTAAAATATTAAAGCTCCTTCACTGTGACAAATACAATCTTTGTGCCTCATAGCCTGATACATTTAATAAATCTAAATAAGTCAGTTTAAGGATCATTAGACAGGGCATCCTGTCCTCATCTTCTGATCTTGTGTTTACTGTCTCATGGGTCATCACTTTCAAATGCCCTCTGAACTTTACTGTGTTGAAAGTAGTGACCTGTCACTTGTCCTTACACAGAATTTTAACCGTCATGTAAGATATAACCTGTGAAGATTTGTTGTGTGTTTTTTTTTTTAATGAAGATCAATAATGTTAATATTTTAGCATCCCATTTATGCCATTCTGGCAACTATCTTTCTATACCTGTTAGATTTTACTCAATACCTATTAATCTCTGTGATACAGAATCAAGTTTCATGGGATCTCTCAATAAGAGGGTTTATTCTGAGCATTAGTTGATTATTGCAAACATCAGTCAGATTTTTTGCTTATCAAGGAAGCAAAGAAAGCTCTTGGTGGTTGATTCAAAGATAGTGTTCTGTTCCCACTACATTATTCAAGACATCGATACACTCGTTAAGAAAGTGCTTTCTAAAGCTTTGTGTGTGTAGGTTTCACCTTTTATAACGTGCTTGGGAATTCAGATATTTTTAGTAAACGTTGAGAAGCTTTGAAAGGATATACAGCTTTTTTTTTTTTTCCAGTGAAGCAATGACTCAGGGGATTTAGGACTTTCTATGTCAAAATCCCCCCCACAGCCTCCTTCCCGTCAGCAGCCCCTACACCTTCCTCTCCGCAGGCCAGGGTGTGTCTGGAGTGACTCAGGCTCCCCGTCTTCCCTGCTAGGGAGGTCTCAGCCCAGAGCCGCACCTCGCCCAGCTCCTCCGTGTTTGTGGTCGTTGTGGAAAGCTGCTGAAAAGAGTTTCGCGTTGAGATGAGCTATAGAATGGAGGTATTTTGTGCTCGGTAGGAGGAGGAGTGTGCGGTAACACCAGCATTTGAAAGCAGACACAGCTCACGCCAGCCGGGCGCAGAGGAGGAGCAGTGCCAACGCCTGGGTGGAGATTTGGATCCTCTTCTGCTCTCCTCTGTTTCATGAGCACTTGGCCTTCATTTATATATATGTTCACCTAGATGTGTATTCACCTATATATCCATGTGTATGTTCGCCTAGACATATATGTTCACCTAGGTGTATATTCACCTATATATCCACGTATATGTTTGCCTATATATATATATTTGTTCACCTAGACATATATATAGCTTCTCCTGTATATATGTATTCACCTATACATATATATATACATATAGCACCTTTCTTTTAGGTAATTGAAATTTATTATTTCATATTAATTTGTTAATTACACATTCTATCATTATTCTTTTTGTACATTCACTAGGAAATAAAGCGTGAATCTTGATTTATTTCATTATCGTTGTTGTTGTTGCGACTCTTTTGCGACCCCATGGACTGTAGCCCGCCAGGCTCCTCTGTCCATGGGATTCTCCAGGCAGGACTGGAGTGGGTGGCCATGCTCTTCTCCAGGGGATCTTCCCGACCGACCCAAGGATCAAACCTGCGTCTCCTGCATACAGGTGGATTCTTTACCACTGAGCCACCAGGGAAACCCTAATTTCATCTTAAATTGTTTTAATTTTGTCTTTTTCCTAGTACTTCTAGAACCTCAGAACCTCTGAGCTCCACGTGACCCCTCCTGACTTTTGCACCTATTGTTGGCGTGTTGTTCTACATACAACTTCAAGTCTGTAACATTCCAAACACATAACTTACGTTTACCCATGGGTTTAATTCCAGGGTCCTGACTTTCTTCTTAAATTTCCATTTTTTCCATCTTGCTTTGTTAAGGTTCACAAAATAGGCAAGACTTGTGATAGCGAAACTTCCTAGTTCCTGTTTGTCAAAAAACATTTTTTATTTCACCTTCAGTTTTGAGGGACATTTGCATTGAGTCTAGAATCCGAGGTTGAATTTCTTTCTGTACTTTAACCTGTGATGCATTGTTTTCTGGCTTCCGGGGTTGCTGTTTAGAAGTCAGCTTCTCCGTAGGATGCCATTTCCCAGGATAACCGAACTGGGAAGGTCTCCTGGGGGTGCTTAAAATCTCTCCCCAGCCAGCAGAGCGCCGGCGTCTGACGTTGGCCCTGCCCATCTCACTCTTGCGCAGTGTCCGATGCACCTCTTTCTGCGTTCCTCCCCCAGGTTATCCACCAGCTGAGGCTGTCGGAGAACGAGAGCGTGGCCCTGCGGGAGCTCCTGGACTGGAGACGGAGACTCTGCGAGGAGCGGGGGGACTGGCCCCAGATCCTGCCCCCCGGGGAGCCCCGGGCGCCTCCCCTGCCTCCGTGCAGGAAGCCCGAGGGGGCCCCCTGCCGCAGGCTGCCCCCCGAGTTCTGGGACTCCACCCTGTGATGGGCCCGCCTGCAGACTCGCGGGGTGAGACCGCCCGCGGGTGCCAAGCTCACGGACAGAGGCTGCCCGCATACACGCCGGGGGCTCTCTGCACAGACGCACAAAAGCACAGACAGCCCGGCCAAACACTTGCGGTTCCCTGGGTGTATGTGTGTGTGTGCGCGCGCTCACCCGTTCTGGGGGGACACACCCTGATCTCCAGGCTCCGTGGTCCTCGGGCGTGCTACCCCAGGTGGTGAGGGAAAGACCAGGCCCAGCGTGGACCGCAGGGGAGGCCGGTGGCGAGGGCGGCCCGCACCGCACACCTGTGTTCATACGTCCCACCGCGTGTTTCTTGTCCTCCAGTCGTTTGCCTCTCATGCACTCTCCAGGACATAGGGTTTATTTCTGTGTAGGTGTTTGTGTTGTATGGGAATTACAATCCTGACAATGATTTACATGTTTGTTACTGTATTTTATAATTTTATGCCATGGGTGGTGCTCCCTTTCTTCAAAATACAGATTTAAAAAAATCACTTCTAGAACCTTTTTTTTCCTACATACCTTTTTTTTAATTTTATTTTTTAATGTAAAGTACCTGAAATTCCCGAGACCCTGACCCTGTCATTGTTTGAGCTTCGCCGTGGCAAGCTCCGCCGACTTACAGCTCGAGTCCGGTGTCTTCTGTTTCGTTCATTGATCAGGAGACGGCTCCTTCCCATGTCCTGTGTGCCGGGCACATGGGTGGTGAGCTCTTCATTAAAATTTCACCCTCTGACTTCAGTAGCGATTACAGGAAATGATGCGCGCACCCCCCCACCCCCACCTTTAATGAGTGCAGCTTCAGAATCGTGGCTGGGGGGTATGCAGGGGACTCACAGCCATTCAAAGGTCTCCACGGTACCGGCAAGTGGGCTGAGATTTGCTGGTCTGAGCAGTGATGCGGCACAAGACTGGTGGTCTCCGAGCTCGGCGGCCGCTCACCGGCGCTAAATCCCGCCCCTCCGGTGATGCGCCCGCCTGGCCCCTGCGTGCGCTTCTGCTGGCCTGGGATCGGCGTGTCCTGCACCCTGGAACTTTTTAATCATACCACCTTTGCCAAGTTACTCTGACAATAAAAGGGTGCAACTCTTTCTCCCGCGGTGTGGTGTACGTGCTGTTGTCATTTTCCACGGCTGCTTTTGCGTCCTGATCGGCGGGGGCAAGGAGACCTCCCTTCCTGCATTCTCACAGCACCTTGCAAACCTCAGAATCAATGGAGTTTTTGTTTGTTTATGTTACAGGTTTTTTGATGTGGACCGTTTTAAAAGTCTTCATTGACTTTCTTGCAATATGCCTCTGTTTTATGTTTTTGTTTTTTTTGGATGGGGGGTGGTGTTGGCCCCAGGGCATGAGAATGTTAGCTCCCCGACCCGGGATCAAACCAGCACCCCCTGTGTGGGAAGGTGAAGTCTTAACCACTGGAGCACCAGGGAAGTGCCCTGGTTTGTTTTAAGAGATTTTTGTGGTTATTCATATACAACTACTAGATAGGCATACTTCAGTTACAGGCATAGCATGTTGATTATATGGGAATAATGATAGGCAAGTAAATCAGGAGAGGCCTTCCCTTGAGAGACAGCATGTGTACTCACAGACCGCATACCGGGTGGAGACCACGCGGAGAAGCTCCTGGGTGGGGCAGGAGACGGAGGACGGGAGCTGGGGGGGCTGAGCGTTTCCTGGGTTTCCTGGGAAGGAACGCCGAGGGGAGGCGCGCATGTCTAGAAGTGATGGGTTCGGAGGATTTCGAGGCCCTTAGGTGCTGCGGCTGCCCGTGGTTGTCGCCTGCTGGCCCCAAGCAGGGGCACAGTGGTCTGGAGTCGGGGATGGGAAAAGGGATGGAGAAGGGGTGGGGTCTGGGATGGTCGTGGGTGTTTTCTGTCCCTGGGACTTGGGCAGCCCGGGGATGCGCCCTTTCTCCAGCCTCCGGCAGGTGCAGATGCGGAAGCATCCGGACGCAGAAAACTAAAGGCGCAGTCGAGACGTGGGTAAGAGGCACCAGGGCGGATGACATCCAACAACCTCAGCGGGTGTCACCCAGCCTCACTCCCCTCTCTGGCCTCACGCTCTTCCTGACAGCCACCTTCGGAACCTCGGCCCCTGACAACAGAGACCGCACTCTCCTTGATAAACAGGCTTCCTCGGCAGCACCTTCACGCCAAAGGCACTCCGTGCCCCTGGTCGGATTAAAGGGGTGAACTGGATCTCTGCCCCTAACACACGGTGTTTTTACTTAGAGCAGAGCGAAGAGGGAACGGTTCGGGCATTCGACCTGTGAGAACTTGTTTCAAATGTGCGTAGAGCCCTGGCTATGACTGTTTCAGCTCCTTTGCACGTGGTATTCCCATCCTGACACTGACCTGTGCCTTCCTGATAATTCTCATCATCTGAGTATTGACCCTGAATTGAAGCTCAGAGCTTTAAGGGCGCTGTCAGAATATAAACCCTCTTCACGGTTCCAAATCCTGGGCCATTCGAACCTGATAGACTGAAACTCTATACTTATTGTATGGAAGTCTATCTCAAGAAACTTCATTAAATGCTCTTTTGGAGGATGCGCTGTTGCTACAGCTCTGGTGGAGACCTGTGACAGGGGAACTGTCCTTGAAGCTAGCCTCCCAGGAGCGTGTGGATCCAGATGATACACTGTCTGTTCTATTAACCTGGTCACAGTTTAGGACTCGTGTGATTACAATCTGATCCTGACCATCACCTGCTCAGGGCACCTGGAGTGATGCAGTAATAAATATTTAATATCTAGTGATCCTTTTGCACTGAAGAATTGATGCTTTTGAACTGTGGTGTTGGAGAAGACTCTTGAGAGTCCATTGGACTTCAAGGAGATCCAACCAGTCCATCCTAAAGGAGGTCAGGGTGTTCATTGGAACGACTGATGTTGAAGATGAAACTCCAATACTTTGGCTACCTGATGCGAAGAACTGACTCATTGGAAATGACCCTGATGATGAGAAAGGTTGAGGATAGGAGGAGAAGGGGATGACAGAGGATGAAAGGTTGGGTGGCATCACTGACTCAATGTACATGAGTTTGGGTGGACTCCGGGAGTTGGTGATGGACAGGGAGGCCTGGCGTGCTGCAGTCCATGGGGTTGCACAGAGTCGGACATGACTGAGAGACTGAAGTGAACTGAATCCTCTTGTCTCATCTAAGGTCATTCATCTTCTACAGCTAAAGGCCAAACCCCTGGACGACTTTCTGAAACAGTCTCCTGACTCAGTCAGCACAAGTCTTCTCCACACGGTGGAGAGATTTCAGTGTTCTTCACCACCCTACACCCAGCAGGTCGTACCTGCTCCACTTATGTGATAGAAAAATCAGCCAAGATGCAAAACGTTCATAGCCATGATAGTATTATTAGTAACAAAATTAATAGTGGTAATAATATGAGATAAAGTCTGAGTCTGAGGGGGTATTAAAGGTACTCTCAAAGTGGTTCTCTAGTAATTGCAGCGTTGTCAGGATAATAAACAGGGGTGCTATTCTGGGTAATAAAGCACAGAATGTTATTCCACATAAGCAAGATTTCAACAAATATGTATGTTTGCAGTATATTTAATGATGGTATTTTAATTGCTATCAGACCATAAGGTATGAATTATGATATATGATCAGGCCTGAGACCTTATGTTTAGCAATATAATTGGTATGAATTATTACCCTGTGTTCAAACACTGCCCAGCCTTATTGCTTTATAGAAATGCTTTATGAGGGGCCTCTAAAAGCTACTATCAAAATGTTCATAGTGGGTTAAAATGATTTAAAATGTATTTTCTACAGTGGAAAAATATATCATTAGTATTCTTAAATAGTGGTATGTAATTTAGTAGAATTATGCTACCCAATAAAAGCAACAGCCAATTAAAATCTTAGATTTGTAAATGAACTTCACATAAGAACATTACAGAACTTAGACAAAACATATATTATGAATTCCACAGTCCAGCAGGTTGGATACATTTCTGGGAAAATTCTATTCCTGCCCATTTTTAGCCAGACATCAAACATAACTCCAATCATGAAAAAGAGCACTAGGTTATTGCATAATAACATTGGGACTTCCCTGGCAGTCCAGTGGTTAAAACTCTGGGCTTGCAGTGCATGAGCCACAAGTTCAATTCCTGGTTGGGGAAACTAAGATCCCACAAGTCGTATGGCAAGCCCCACATTCCACAGTGGGACACACTTCACCGCTAAAGTGAAAGCCCCTCAGTTGTGTCTGAGTCTGCAAACCCATGGACCGCAGCCGCCAGGCTCCTCCGTCCATGGCATTCTCCAGGTAAGAACACTGGAGTGAGTTGCCATTTCCCCCTCCAGGGGATCTTCCCAACCCAGGGATTGAACCCAGGTCTCCCGCATTGCAGGCAGATTTTTAACCATCTGAGCCACCTGGAAGCCCTAATTTTGTTTCAGTTTTTACATGCATGCCTTTAGTTAGAAGTTTAAAAGTTTGATTTTTATTTTGATTCTCATTGGGAAATTTTCAACAAAAGTCATTCAAAGGTTGAAAAACAGGTGTTCCAAGTAAAAGTTTGATGTAATTTTATTACATTTTTCAAAGCTGTACATAAAAATCCAGGTAATAGGGATGAAAGCCATTATATTTCCATTTATTGTGCAATGGTAGGTACTCCACAATGCTCATGGTTTCCCAAAACATTAGCACTGCTTCCAAAAAACTGAAAAATATATTCTTCATCCCTATTGTACTTCCTTTACATCTTCTTCATAAGCAGTGATTTTATCAAACAAATCCTACAGTGTTCTAAGAACCCTGTGAGTTACAAAGTTACCCACCTAGCAAGGGGTTGTAGCATGCTGAGTTAGAGCCTGGAAGAATTACCTTTGTGGTCTTTCTCTTTACCTAAGTACCACAGACCCCTGGGATGTTCCATTATTGTGGTTTCAGTAAGTTTCGCAGAAACCCAGAGGATGCTTTGTAAAACTGTAAAGACGACACTTTCAAAGGATAAGTCTTAATAGATTGCCTATAATACATTTCTATCACCTGTTCTAATTTCTCAGATGACTTTTCAGTTTTTTTTTAATCTATTTATACCTAAAATAGCAATTTTGTATGATCTGACAGCACAATAGCATCTGAATTTTATGTTGTTTACTGGATCGTTACAATGGTGGAAGAAAATCTTGATGTCTTCTCATAAGAAAATATCAAAGGTGGATAAACCTATGCATTTATTTCAATTGTTGTTTTATAATAGGAATGCATCGGATGTGTCTTCTCTCTCCTTTAATTAATCATCGACAGACATCCGGGCCTGTCTGCTTGCTCGCATTTTCCTATAGCCCTGGGGAGCGGATTTGCTTCAAAAGAAGGCTCCAGAGCTGGCCCAGATGACATTCTCCTGATATCACCACTTAGTTTCTAAAGAAAATGAAAAAGAATGAAACTATTGATAAATTCCAAGGGGAGAGATCAAAGCTCTAAAGAAAAATGGAATAATACCAAATTCAGCTGGAGGTTTTGATCTTTGAAGATGTCTGCAAACAAAGAGAAAGGGGTCCCTGGTCTAAAACAATGAGTGGGAAAGTGTGTAAACTCTGTCACATCACATGAGGCTTTCCTCATTGAACCTGTCTTGGGGGCTCTATTAAGCTGAATTCCATCCATCAAGGTCTTACATGATTATCAGGAGAGCTGGTCCACCCAGCAGAGTCCGTATTGGGGTTCACCCACATCATTGTTGAATAACATAAGCAACCTTAATAAGAACATATGGAGGATTTTTTGAATATTTCTGTGTATAAACAGACTGTCTGTACATTTCTGTTGTAGGGGAAGGAATTCTTCAGAAAATTCTGTATTTGGAGAACTGTTGTGATTCCCTTGGGCCTTGGAGCTGTTATAAGAAGATAACGTTCCATATTTTAATAAGCAAGATAACTTCCCAAGGAGAAGAGAAGCGGCTGGAAATCCACATGGCCGTGATCTCAGCTCCCGAAGGTTGTCGAGGGCAGGTACGGAGGGCATTTGAGGTGCCGCTGCCTCGTTGCTGGGCACAAGAAATGCCTACCTTCCAGCCCCAGGTGAAGGGCAAACCCTCCAGAGCCAGAATGCTTAATGCCCAGATGCCCAAACGCCAAAAGTTTGCTCACAATGACTCATATTTGTCTTGAGTCTCCAGCCCTACATGTTTTTGGCTCCAGTTGGCTATCTCAGGGGTCCCCAACCTCCAGGATCTAATGCCTGATGAACTGAGGTGGAGCTGATGTAATAATAACAGAAATAAAGTGCACATTAAATGTAATGTGCTTGAGTCATCCTGAAAACACCCCTTCGCCACCCCTGGTCCATGGAAAGCTGGTGTCCATGAAGCCAGCCCCTGGTGGTACCAGAAAGGGTCGAGACCCCTGGAACAGAAGAAAAACAACCTACTGGCTTCACATGCTGAACCTGTATTTCTTAGAAAGAAATGGCAACCCACTACAATATTCCTGCCTGGAGAATCCCGTGGACAGAGGAGCCTGGCAGGCTGCAGTCCACAGGGTCAGACACGACTGAGCGACTCAACAGCACCCTCCCTGTGGCATCTCAGTGACCGGCACCCTAGTGTTTAGTGGACGCCGAGGAAGAAGAGAATTCAGTCCCCTCTAACAAACACATCCTTAAAGCATGTAAAATACGCAGTGAGCGCGAATGCTCCCAAAGCTGTCCCTGTTCAGAAGGGCCTCACCCCCATGGCTCAGCTTTAAGGCTTTGCTATTAATTGCAGTGTGCCTGCCCCACTTAAGGATGTCTCCTTTTTTTTTTTTTTTTAATCATTCTGAAGCTTAAGAACTCATGACTCACACATTTCAAAATCATCCTCTACCCCCACTTGGCAGAATGATGTCACCCAAAATTTTCCTCCGGGTAAAACAGGGGGCTGAGAGTTATCATCTGCATTAGACACAGAAACTCATAAGTCTCCCTACCTCAGTTCTCATAGGAAGCACCTCATTCCTCATTCCAAACATCTCCCTAGGCCAAAGTGTCCACTAAAACTCTTAATTTCTATGCATGGACTTTTCAGTCTGGCTTCAGAGAGGGTCACTAATGAAAAAAATAGTCAAAAAAATTTTTTTGCGTATTTCTAATAATCACTGTTTCTTTTCACTCTGATTTTGGGGACCGTAATACTTCTACTGGGGGCTTCCCAGATGTCTCAGTGGTAAAGAA